CAGCCTCATCCAAGCATTTGTGTTTCAACACATGTTGTCTTAACAGGCAATTTTAGAACAGCCCTCCTGAAAAGCCACCTCGATCGTCCTGACCTTCTGTTGGTAGAAGTCCGATTTCGACAACCCTGCTGTGGTTGCCGGACAATCTGAATCCCAAAAGGGCCCCCTTTGATAAAGGCCCAATTTTGGCTTTGCCGACCCTAAACCCTTGAAGCCCTAAAACACAAAACAAAAACCCTAAAAAACCCTAAAACCCTAAACCCTACAAACCCCCCAAAACACTCAAAACCCCTACAACCCCGAAAAGCTTAAAACCCTACAAAGCCTTATAAACGCCTATAAACCCTTCTAAGCACCTGTAAACTTGTATAAGCCCCGATAAGCCCCTATAAACCCCGACAAACCCCTATAAAGCCCTAAGACCCCAAAATCCCGTGTAACCTCTATAACCACCCATAAACCCCCAGAAACCCCCATAAACACTCAAAAACCTTCAGAATCACCCATAAACCCCTATAAACCCTCATAAACCCCCCTAAACCCCCCATAAACCCCTACAACCCCCTAAAAGCCTTATTGTCACGCACCCCTTTGAGGCCGAACTCGAGGAGGCGAGCCAGCGGACCGAGTCGACGGAGATCCCATCGCCTCTGGCGGCGGCTCGGGGGCCGAGCCGAGCACCGGTGTTTTAGGGGTTTTGTTTAAGGGAGTTTAAACTGTGTGTGTGTGTGTGTTTTTTTTTGTTTACGGGGTTGTGTTTAGGGGGTTTTAAAGTGGTTTTTAGGGTGGTTTATGGGGTGTTTAGGGTTGTTTTGGGTTTTGGTTAGCGGTTTTTAAGGGTTTTAAGGGTTCCGCGACGATTCGGCTGAGAATCGTAGGGCTCATATTAGGGAAGGGGTTTGCTTATTATCGGATCTGGATCTTACATACCATGTCACTAGACGACTTAGGTTCGGGGATTTGGGCTCTCGGGTTAGGGATCATGGTGAGCTGGGACTGCTAGGGCTAGGGTGTTAGAGCTCGAAGGCTAAGACAGTATGAAAGAAAGAAAGAAAGCATGCTTCCCATAGTCTCCCATTGTAGTTCCTTTTGGGGGTTACATGATAGGATCCTTAATCTATAATCGGCTATGCCACGAAAAGGGAATTACAATGGAGACGATAGGTTGAAGTCAGAAAATCTCACTCTGAGAAGGTGAAGGCCGGCGAAGTGCGAAGTTTCTGGCAGGTTGGCATGCACAAAGTGTGTGATACGTAGTGGGCTTCTGTTGCTTCAAACCGTATATATGGACCATCGTGCTCGTAACCATATCACCGTGACGGGGCTGGTAGAGCAAGCTGCCAACCTTTCAATCGATACACCCGAGATAACCTCTCTTATTCTCCCTTGCCTTCTTGCATGAACCCGTGAACAACCCTAAACCCTAAACCCCTAAACCCAAAAGCCCTAAACCCCTATAAACCCTAAACCCTTAACCCCTATACCCCTAAACCCCTATAAACCCTATAAACCCTAAACCCTTATAAACCCTAACCCCCTATCAACCCTAAACCATGCAAACCCAAACTTGCATGAAACCGTGCACAACCCTAAACCCTAAACCCTTAAACCCTACAGCCCGAAACACCTATAAACCCTAAACCCTGTAAACCCTAACTTGCATGATCCCGTGAACATCCCTAAGCCTAAGCCCCTGAACCCTAAACCCCGAAGCCCCTATAAATCCTAAACCCCTATAAGCCCCAAACCCTATAAACCCTAACCTAAACATCCCTAAAGCCTAAGCCGCAATGAGGGTGCATCGACGGCGTTGTCAGAGCACTCCGAAGCGCTGGAGGACCGGAACACTGCATCGGTCAGCTTCTAGTCATGGGCAAGGGTTCTTTGTCGACTTGACAAGGGTTCTATGAGGGAGGGTTTAGGATTTAGGGTTTAGGGCTTTATGAGGGTTCTTTGTCGACTTTACAAGGGTTCAGGGTTCAGGGTTTAGGGTGGAGGGTTTAGGGTTCAGGGTTCAGGGTTTAGGGTTTAGGGTGTAGGGTTGAGGGTTTAGAGCTTTACAAGGGTTCTGTACAAGCTTTTGTCTAGGTTTCTCTCGTCCAGAGTTGTCTGAGGGTCCTACAGTGTTTCTGTGTAAGGGCTTGGGGGTTTCGGGTGTAGTGGCTTGGCAAATGAGGAATGAGATTTCATTAGAGAAAAGGGAACCCATTGCGGAGATTTCACTGGACAGTCGCAACCCCAACCCTCTTGGGAATCTTGTTTGGCTTTCTATCATACACGGTTCTGGTGTTCAGTGCAGGCCATGGGGGTGCGTTTAAGGTAACCCGAAAACGAGCTTCAACCCGAACCCTGGAGGGGTTGAGGGTTTCGCGGCCCCAGAAGGGCATGGACTTGGGAGTGTCCGCGCTGAGTACTGTGGTTCCTTAACCCAACTGTCCTCCCAAGGTCAGCCCAATTAGAGGTTCATATTTAGCTTGATTCTTAGCCATAGCCCTAAACCCCGGAATCTAAGCATTTAACCACCCTAAAGCCCTAAAGCCTGAAAAGCAAACCCTAAAACACACATGCCTGTGACCCCTCCAAACAATCGACTGCAGATGCAAGTTGTCGCCGACCACAGCGAAACCAATTACATGTAGAAAGAGCATGATAAAACACAGTTTTCAGTAATTGTCCTTGAAACTTGAAAGCATCTCTCAAGCCCTACTGACAACACATACCCTAAAAAACCTACAGCCCTCAACGTAGCCCTTCAACAGCCATATAAAACCCGTTAAGGAACCCTTAAAATGAGCCCCAAAACCCTATTCTAATTATTCAGGCCCTTATCTTAACTCCTAAACCCTAAACCCTATATCCTAAACCCTATACCCTGTACCCTTAGACCCAAACCCTACTCTAATTATTGAGGCCCACTCCTAAACCCTGAACCCTATAGACCCTATAAACCTTGTACCCTTAAACCCAAAACCCTATTATCTTAAATCCTAAATCTAAACCCTAAACCTTGTACCCTTAAACCCCAAACCCTACTCCAATTATTTTAGGCCCTTATAGAAGCCAGAAGCCCTTATAGGACCCCTTTGAAGGAACCCTATTCTAATTATTTAGGCCCATTTTTGTTTACTTCTTGGGCCCTCGCGTTTTGCGTTTCCAGGCTCCAGCGCCCTCATCCGGCCTTCGGCTGTTGTGCTCCGGAACGCGGTTGAGGGTTTAGGGGTTTAGGGGTTTTAGTAATAGGGTTTATGGGGTCTAGGGTTTAGGGCTGTAGGGGGGTTTATAGGGGTTTATAGGGGTTTAGGGGTTTTAGGGTTTATGGGGATTTAGGGATTAGGGCTTTAGGGGTTTAGGGTTGATAGGGGTTTAGCGGTTTAGGGTTTTAGGGCTTTAGGGGTTTAGGGTTCAGGGTTTTGGGGTTTAGGGTTTAGGGTTTCCCTTGGTTTGTTTGTTCTTGCTTTGGCGGGGGCTCGATGGGTCTAACCCTAAGAGTCTAGGTACCGAATGATCATATATTCTCCCAGATAGTAACCTACATAACTACTATCTGAAACCTAAGAACCTACGTAATGTAAGGGCCTAAATAACTACCAATACTACGGCTCCTTATTGTATTTATAGTATACTGGGCCCCAAAACTTAAAACCCTATTCTATAATTATGAAGGCACCTACACCCTAAACCCCTTATAGTAGCCCTTATGGAACCATTTAAGGAACCCTTAAAAGGAGCCCCAAAACCCTGTTCTAATTATGAAGGCACCTAAACCCTAAACCCCTTATAGTAGCCCTTATAGAACCCTTTAAGGAACCCTTAAAAGGAGCCCCAAAACCCTACTCTAACTATTCAGGCCCCTTATTCTAATTATGAAGGCACCTAAACCCTAAACCCTTATAGTAGCCCTTATAGAACCCTTTAAGGAACCCTTAAAAGGAACCCCCAAAACCCTATCTCTAACTATTCAGGCCCCTTATTCTAATTATGAAGGCATTAGGGCTGAGGCTCAACGTCGGTTTGGGGTCTTGCTATGGGGGGTTTTAGAGTCAGCCCATGCAAGGCTTCCGGGTTGGCGGTTGAAGTTGGCGCTTTGGGTTTTTTTTGTGTCTAAAAGTTTGGGGTCTTTACAGGTTTGGGGTTTAGGACTTTTTTTTGGCTGTTTGGGTTTCGGGTTTGATGCTCAAAGGTCCGGGGGTTTGCGGGTTAATGGGATCTTGCGAGTTGAGAGTTGCGTGCTTAGCTCGGGCCTTGACCTTGGGTCTTGTTGTTCAAACCTTTGAGCAGTTCTCTAAATTAGGGTCCCTTTTTCGGTCCCAATACAGTACGGCACCCTTATAAAAAGGACCCAAAAAGGTACCCTCATTTAGAAGACTACCCCTTTGGTTTCCGGGTTTAGGTTTTAGAGCTTGCGCAGGTGCCGAGACCCACGGACCACCCTTCGAAATACCTAAAACACGTCACCATGAATCTATGGGCCATATACCGGCTTTGTCAAGGTTACTTTGGGCATCCTAGTTGGGGGGATGGAAGTGGTTCAGGCTTCAGCATGGAGCTGTAGATGGAGGCTCTAAGGTTGAGATGTCTCCTGAATCCTGGCTTCCATGTTCTAGTTGGGTCGGCCATACATCTAGAGGTCCCTTCCTGGGCAGAATATTGAGTTGGAAGCTGCCAATATACGAGCCTGATTTGTGCGATGGCGCAAATCTTTTTCGGCGGCATTGTGGAGGGAGTAGGCAGTGCAGCGGAGGAGGTGCATGTGGCACCGCAGCGTGGCGTTGGCACATCTGTAAGGGCGATACTCCCCATTTCGATATCAGCCTAGCTGCGCGTCTTACACTCCAACGGCAACTTATCGTGGAGTGGCTTATAACTTATACGGGATGTTGTCTAGGGATGTTGTCTATCCGAGACCTTCAAATGCGGTCATGCGGGCCTTACTCAAGGAAGTCTTATCATCTAGGAGCCATAATATAGGGGCCTTAATAATCAGCTAGATTGTTTTGGGTCGTACCTTATTATAATTAAAATAGAATGGGCCCCTACACCGCCCTGAACCCCATATACACCTGTGAAGACACCTCTGGCCCCTCGGGCCCCAAGCTCTCAATCCATGAAAACAGGCTCTTCATTCTTTCTCTCCATCTCTCTCTCTCTCTCTTTCTCTGTCTCTCTCTCTCTCTCTATCTCTCTCTCTCTCTCTCTCTCTCTCTAAGGGTCTACGTATATATGCTATTATAAGTTAGAATGAACATGGACAGAACCCTGAAACATGCCGAACATCGCCGGATGCTGACCCCTAAACCCTGACCAAAGCCCTTCGGGATCCCTTACCCGAGAAACATGAAACAACTTTACCCGTAAAGCTCTAAAACTACTGGGGTTCTAAGACTTCCCCCCCACCGCCCCGATTTCAGGTTTAGGCCTATACCCACCCCCTTTCGTTTGGGTTTTTGAGCAGATGGCCAGGCAACAGCGCCGCCGCGAGCGTGCGGAGGCTGCGCCGCGGGCTGCAGGCCACGGGCCGAGCTCTGTGAGTTTAGGGTTTACCTAGAGACCCTACAGGACCTACGTTTCTAGGGCTCCTTCTTATGATTTCCTCATATAAGTCCATAATGAAAAGGTAGGTTCCTCAGGGTCTCGGCTGGATTCGATGTTTAAGAGTTCGGGATTTAGGATTCGAGGGTTAGGATTCAGGGTTTAGGGTGCAGGATTTAGGGCTCAGTGTCTAGAGTCTAGGGCTTGGGATTCACGGTTGAGGGTTTGCAACATTAGAGGGCTAGAGCTGCAGGGTTAAAGGTTTGTAGGATTGAGGGTTCGGGATTCAGAATTATATAAGGCTTACGGGTTTAGGGTTTATGTAACATTGTCGAGCTTATGCAGGATTGAGGGTGCTGCAGGGGATGTTATAAGGTACCGTAGGGTTGCCAAATTCATAAAGGTTACATCAGATACTACACGAGATGTGAGAAATACTGTAGTTTAGGGGGTGCGAAAAGACTACCGGAAGGTTACTTGTAGGGTTGCCAGTACGGTGACTAGGGGTTTGAGGTTTTGGGTTTCAGGGTTTGGGTGTTGAGATTTCATGTATAGGGGCCCAAATAGATGAACCAGGGTTGTATTATCCTCAGGAACCTAAGGAGGAGTGGTACTAACTGACTACACAGGGCCCTAAAGCAGGACTCTGAATTTGGGATTGAGGTTTGGGTTGCAAGCAAGAACAAGAGATTCTCAATCAGTGTGTTGGGTTGGCAACTTCAGCCCGGAAAAACCCAGGGATGAATTTAAGGTGTATTTAAGAGTTTAAGAGTATATACTAGTGTATGTAATCGTCGATTCTAGCATAAATATAATATACTATAGTATATTATGGTAGTATATTATACTATTTGGCAACTCCTGAACTCCACCATCCGAAGCAGGAAGCGCTGAAGCCGCCACTGACGGCGACACCTCCGCAGGGAACAGGCGTGTCCGGGTGGCTGGACAGTTGAGGGCTTAGGAGTTAGTAACAGGTCCTAGGGGTTTAAGGTCTGAAGGTTGTTGGGCTCTTAGCATTTAGGCTTAAGTCAAGATTTCAGGAGCTGGGATGCATAGTTTTCGGTTTGCGGGCTCTTCTGAGCCTGATCTGTAGGTCTCAGGGCCTACCCCAAAACCCCAGGAGGTTCGTTAGAGACGCGCCGACGCCACGCCCGACTTAAACAGCCCTGCAACACTTCTCGCCTTCATTTCGAGGCCTTCAATCAACTCGTCGGACCGATTACCGCAGCAAGCAGAAACACGCTTTGGGAGAATGGCGTGGGACGGCATGTAGAAGACTGACAAGCTCCCTCAAATCAAGAGCACCGGCCAACGACCTAAACCCAAAGCCTAGTTAAACCTGCCTTGTCTGCAACCGCATTCCGAAGCCTCAAGCCTGAACCCTAGACCCCAAACCCTAATCCCTAAACCCTTTTAAACAGCCATAGACAAGACAAGAAGTGGAGGTAACCCTACCTTAAGAACCAAAACCCACTTTTTTGTAGGTTCTGATTATACACCCTAATATGGGATTCATAGGGACCCTACAAAAAAGGTAGGTTTTGGGGTTCTTAAGCCTAAACCCTAAACCCTTATCTTTCCTCATCAGGTCCCGGGCTGCTGAAACTACGGATGAGCTCGTAGCCCTTTGGATGAAGCAGCGCTGGTGACAGGAAAAAGGGGTTTAGCGGATTTTTCTTGGATGTCTGTAAGGATTCAAACCGGGTTTCATGTGGTTTCTATAACTACAGGTTTTTGGGCTTTAAAGTTTAGGGTTCAGGGCGTATTGCTTGGAAGGTTTGGTGTTCCGTGCTTGAAGGGAGGGTTTTAGTTTGGGGACGTTGTGTCTTCTTTGGGCTTTTCGGCTGTAGGACTGTAGGATTTTCGTGGTATTCGATTTAGGATTTGATGTTCCTACCTGCTTAAACATGCCAGTCTTGGTCAGGAGTGTTTCTGGCTTCATGAGTTCGGGGGTTAGGGTATGGTGCTTCGGGATGAGATGGTCTCCTTGGTCAGTGTCAATGCAGGGATTGAATACCAGGGTTTTGGGGTACCTTGTCGGCACCAGAATCATAATGGAGAAGCCCAAGGAACAGGCACGCGCAGCAGTTTGGGAGGTGCAATATAGGGGCCTTAATAATTAGAATCGGGTTTTGGGGGTATATTATACTATAATTCTAAGAATCAGCCCTCAACCTTAAACCCTTATAGAAGCCCTTATAGAACCTTCTTAAGGAACCCTCTAAAGGAACCCCAAAATCCTATTCAGGCCCCTTCAAATTAGGGTTTCAGGGTCTGGCGGCCTTTTGGGCGTGTGAGACGAAGGCTGCACGACCCTAAGCCCAAAGCTTAAAAGCAACTCTCAAGGGTTTAGGGTTTGGGGTCTAGGGTTCAGGGTTTCGGGTTTCAGGTTTAGGGTTTAAGGTTTAAGGTTTAAGGTTTAGGGTTTAGGGTTTAGGGTTTAGGGTTTCAAGCCTACTAAACCATGAATCCTCAGCGCTAAACCCTAAATCCTAGGTCCTACACCCTAACAAATCCCAACCCTGGCTTCGTCACAAAGTTATGGTGCGACAGGCCAGGCGCGCATGCTGTTTTGCTGTCATAAGATCCTAAAGGGGTCTTGGTACGATTAGTACATGAGTAAGAGTATTCCCCTTATAGTCCTTCTTATATTGCAGGTGCATTAGCACATACCCGAACCTCTGTTCTAGCTATTAAGGCCCCATCTCATCACAAGCTGAAGCTGTTTTTGAAGATCGCCTTTCCAGTTGGGGCATCTTGTGTTTGGGATGGAGAACTCGGCACCGCAATCTGTGGCTGAAAGCTGCATCGGAGCCCCTAGCAGGAGCCATGCGGCCCCATGCCCTCAATCCCGAGCAATGTAGCTCCTGTTTTTGGCAACATTTAGGTCTTGAAGTCCTCTTTTCTACAGCCCTAACGCCTTACCCGAAGAGCAAAGCCCCAAACCTCAAGCCCCAAAACCCCAAACCGCCCAAACCTTATCCTATCCGAAAGCCACCAAAAAACCCTTACCTCTTGAAGCCTATGATCTAGCTGACCTAGACGCCTTGATGGTTTGAACAGCTTTTTGGGGGGTAGATCATGCTACATACTGGGTAGTTCTCTAAATTAGGGCCCCTTTTAGGGTCTTTTTCATAAGGGTGCCTTTTTGGGGGGCTCAAAAAGAGTGACCCTGGTTTAGAGAACTACCCACATATAATCTTGCGGGCTGAACGGTTAAAATATGTGTTGCAGGGAATGTTATGCCAGATGAACATACATAGTACTTAGTTGCCGACCGCTGTCTTAACCAAGCCTCCAAGCTTCAACCCAAGCCTCGACATAAGCTTCAGAGACCCACGAAACGGCCTCTCATGGACGGTCCGTGGCGAACGGCTTGTCCGAGTCTTGGGAATTGAAGTGCTGGACCGTGGTTGCAGCTGAACTTTGGAGATCTGAATATTTCGTAAAACCATCCCCCGTAGTCTTATGTACTGTAGCTATACCATAGTGTACCCCAACACCCACTTGAAGCTGAAGCCCGCTTATACTCATGACTTTCCAGGATTTAGGGTTTAGGGCTTTAAGGGTTTAGGGTTTAGGCTTTAGGGTGCCCAGCAACTTTGGATGGGTCGCATGTATACAGGCCCCTCGACCCGCATGGAGTAGGTTTTGAGGTTTCCCAAAGGGTCGAAAGTACCCATATGGCAGAATGTAGGGCTTCTATAATAGTCGGAATCCTTTTTATGATTTGGGAAAGTATCCCCCATAACAGCGCCTAGGACCCTCTGGGTTTGACTTTGAGACAGGATTTTGGTCGTCGTGCTTGATACTCAGCGGAGGTGAGACTGGTGAGCAGAGCTGCTAAGACTGCAAACACGGGGCTTGGAGCCAACTTTTTACTTGGCTTCCACTTGTCTCTCAAACTCTGTATCTGTGTTTGTTGTCTGTTTTGTCTTGCCATGCCTTGCTCTCTCTTTCTCTCTCTCTCTATATATATCTTCGATTCGGTGTCCGGTTTGTCTTTGTTTGTCCCTGCTGCCGTTGGGCTATTCTGGTCTCCTCAGTCCGACCTCAGTCACAGCTATGACGACTTCGGATCGTGTCACGGAAATGCTCGAGCAGTAGCAGCAGCGTTTCCAAAAAAAGGCGCAACATAAGGTGACAGCAGTACGCCGTTCTCTGACTAAGGATTTAAGTTACGGCTATCCCGAGACCATGTAACACCAACGCACTAAACCCTAAAGACCCTGCAGCACCCCAGCACCCACGCACCCTGCTATCCTGGAAGCTGGCCGTGTTAACGAAGCCTTAGCTTCCCATGCCTTCTGGGCATAAGGCTTCCCGGTGTGAGGGCTCCTCCAAGTATTTTGGTTTAGGGTTTAGGGTTTAGGGTTTTTATTTTAAGCATGGTGCCACATGTTAGGGTTTGGTCCGAAGTATTAACCAACCAGGGTACTTGGACTAAGGATCGTAGGTTCTTGCAGCTTATCGGCTTGGGTTAGTGTTTTGGGAGTAGGTGACTGGCGGGAATTTGAATCCTTCGGGAAATCGCCCAAAACCTAAACCCTAAACCTTAGACTCATTAGACCCTTCTCTTCCGGAAGCATTGCCCGGAGGTAACGGGCATGCGCCCTTTCGCTGTGGGGCCCTCAGAGGGCCCGGGTCCTTTCATAAAGGCTCTTGCTAGGTATGGCATGCTTCATAGTCTCCCTTAGCTATTATAAATTGGGCTTGAGAAGATCTGTTTTACGAATATTTTCCAGAGGCTTTAAAGGGCCAACCTAGGTTACTTGACCCAATGTCTGCTACACAGCCCGGTAATTATACTCCTTAGCATACAAATGCGGCGTAGTCAACACGGGACGTTTGATGAGGGGTTATTGGAAGCTGGGCATCTCTGGGAACTTGCCGCATGATCTGCGAGCCTGGAGCATTTTGTTGTGTTGCATGTGCAGAGTGGTTAACGAAATGTTGAGGGCACAATTCCTAGCTTCTCCCACAGCTATTCAATTCTGTGGGTCATCACGAATCATGCCTTCACATACTTCAGATGCAGGTGCATCCTATGTACAGACTTCCTTTGTATAACGACCGGTAAATGAATACAGCTGGGTGTATAAATATGCATATACATAAAACAGACATACACATGCACACACATACATACATACATACATACATACATACATACATACATACATTCATACATACATACATACATACATACATACATGCAAACATATGAACACATTACGTGTTTGTATGTATCCAGGTATGTACAATCATGCATGTATGTGTGTACGTGCGTATGTGCGTTTGTACACATGTGCGCATGCATACGTAAGTAAGTAATACTGTATGTATGTATGTATGTATGTATGTATGTATGTATGTATGTGTATATATATATATATATGTTTATTTAGTTATATTAGACATACCTATTTATAGGTATTATATAACTACATAAGAATATATATCGTATTACAGATATATTATGTTTGTATGTGTTGCAGCATGCATTGGGGCGTGGCTGATGCCCACGCAAACAATCGCCCATACCATTTCGCGGTGTTCCTGGCTATAACTATAGTATAATATACCCCAAAACTATTCTAATTATCAAGGCACCTATATTATGTACTTGGGCCATGAAGTCCCTATGTATAGGAACCTCACTTAGTCCGTTGTGTACAAAATAGGTTCAAGGATCCAAAAAAGACCCTGCAGCAATTCCTGAAGGACGGGTTTCTACAGAACCGCTAGGGTATGGTAGCTTAGCGACAAGCGTCCCATAAGTGTCGTGGCACTTGGCTACGCAAATCCTAGCATTGACTGGACATTGCAAATACCAGGGTCTTGTATTGCAATTCTATACCCTAAACCGTGAATGATCAACCCTAAACCCTAAGCCCCTAAACCCTTCTACGTGGGAAGATGAGGCG